GGGTTCTGATGGGTTGGAAGCCCCAGGGATGGTTCAGGCAGAAGCTCAGACTCAGATTTCTAGGTTCATATTGGAGCCGTGATGCTTTCAGTCATTTCAAGAAATGATCGCCGTGCTCAGATGTGCACAGTTTGCATCATCCAAGCACAGAAAAGTAATTTTTAACAATTTCTACGATATCTGTGCTTATATATTTTATATTTAAACACTAAAATGCTTTCATAAACTACATTAAGACTCATATGTATAGCTGTGCTAAAAAATGACAGGAGTTATAAATATAGTGATTTATATTGAGCACATCATCATTAAATTATCTTGAGCATCCTTGAATAAAAGTACTCATTCGTTTGGATAAAAGTTCATTTCACTTTGATGGAAACTCAATTTATTTTAGAAATAATAAATGAGAAGCAGAAAAGACATATTCTGTTGAATAAACCTTCAGTTTAACGTTTTAACATCAAAGTTCGTTATTTTCCTCTCCAGGTTTGATGAGATTTTTGTGACACGTGTGGAAAAAACTGTTGACTGGCTGCACTGAACGGTACCATTTTATTTTAAACTGTCAGGACTCATCTAATAAAAGGGGAAACAAAACGTCTAAGAGGCCAAGGAAAAGTGTTTCTTGCGCGCATCTTTCAGACACACTGTGCGTGAGCTTTCTCAGATGAGTAAGATGGTCTTTGTTGTGGAGTATCTTGGAGAGAAGTGGGAAGGAACCTAAAAATAAGCTCTCAGATGAAACTCCAGCATCAGTTCTGAGAAAACAGAGGTGCCTGTCAAAGGCAGGAATGTTTTCAGGACGTGCACACGGATTCTGCTGCTCACAATGGAAACATCTCCAACGTGCACCCTTACAATGAAAATTAGCTCTCATTCAGATTCAAAACATAGGATGATTGTTTTAAATTGATTACACAACCGTCCAGCGGCTGGATTTCAATCAAGGCCTTAATAAGAACGAATCACATTATTTTCTGCCATCCTATCCATTTCATCAGAACATAGAGTCATTATTCATCCTAGCTTGTTACATAAGCTTTGGAAAATGAAGCACAAGAGCTGGATTCAGTACTAAAGCAGTCTATTGTTCATTTCAAAGGTTTTTATAGCTTGCATTAAAGAGTTAACCCCTGCATGCTCTCCTTGATTAGGAGTATTTAAGATTTTTCTTCCTCCTATATAAAATCATATTACCTTGAAAATTTTTTATTTTGGTTGTTATTTTTTGCAGGGAGGGGCACACTGAAACTAAAAGTCATAGATATAAATTCTGGATAAATTAAAGACTGTCTGGTCGGGGTGGAGTGGGGGGACCAGTAAGCTGCCATCTCTCAGTGAGCAGGTCACCAGTTCAAATCCCAGCCGGGGGTCTTTCTGGGTGGAGTCTGCATGTTCTCTCCGTGCATGCGTGGGTTTTCTCCAGGTACTCCAGTTTCCTCCCACAGACCAAAAACATGCATGTTAGGCTGATTGGTAACTCTAAATTGTTCCTTGGTGAGAGTAAGAGAGTGAATGGTTGTTTGTCTTTATGTGTCCCAGTGATGTACTGGAGACCTGTCCAGGGTGTTCTCCACCTCTCACACAGCAATGCTGGATATGGGCACTAGAGTCCCCTGCGACCCAAAAAGGAAAAAGCAGGTAAAGATAATGGATGGATAATAATAATGATAAAGTGATGATAGTGTAAATTTGTATTTGCATGAACTGCTTTGAAGCTTTTTAGACTGGAGTCATTTTGAGAGGACAGAGATCTGCTGTAGAACTGATCCTGCTCAAACTGGACCAGTAGCCGAGACCAGTTCCAAACTAGACTAGTGCCACCCTAAAATAAACCAAATTCAAACATTTCACAGCAGTTCAGGCAAATGATTTCTTTTACAAACCTTTACATAACCATGAGTTTTGTATTACATGTGCATTTAGTGATAAATAATTGACTCTTCAAGCTGCAAGTGTCCAAAGCTGCAGTGCTACAGCTAGCTGCTGCTAAGGGCTGTCAACGGTTACAAAAAAAATTGTGTTTGCATGAACTGCAATTATTGCTTTCTTTAGATTGGAGCCATTTTAAGAAAGCAGCAATTTGTCTAGGTCCTGGCCCTGCTCAAACTAGCCATTAGCTTTCTAACCCTCCTGCCAGACATAAATTTCATATTTCTCCAGACTGAGGTTCTTCAAAGTGCTATCAGCAGCAGGTAAGATATTAACTGTTGGAGCCCCATTTGCAACCATCTGAACAGCTCATTTAGCCTCTATTCTTTGTATTTCAAAGTCATTACTACATTACGCTTATTGTTTTTGCTACTGCCGTGTCATATTTCCTCCAGTACTTTAACTTTTGAAGTAATGCTGTGCAATAAGTGCAAGAAAAAAATTAAATTGTTCCCCTTTACAGAAAAAACCAAAAACATTACATTAATAGGAGTAAGCTGCATCAATAATCAACTCAATACACTTTTGGCTGCATCATTACTTACTTGGCAGTAAGAAATATTGTTTAGTCAGTCTGGTGGTCAAACTGGCTCCTGCACAGCAGAGCCGTCCAAATCTCGTCCTAGATTTTAAAACTGCAAAGCAAGAAAACCCCTGCTTGAAGAAGATTTTAGGTTCAGGTGTTGTGTACAACTGTAATTTGAAAGTACTTCAGTTCACGTTCTGAAAGACACAGATTGAAAATGTTTGAACTGGAAACCACAAATGCTTTTGAACTGAGAATTGATGTTGGGTGAAAAGTATTATGAGTGTGTGATCATGGACTGATGGGACATCAGTCAGCCATGACATTTCATGTCATAAACTCTCAGACATTGGTTTCTCAGACCACGCTATTGGTTGGTTTTCTAATTACCTTTCAGCTCCAAGGGAATGTGTTCAATATAATGGTACTTCTTTCAGCTATTTAACTGTCAATAATGGTGTGCCACAAGGCTCAGTCTTAGGTCCCACCCTCTTCGCAATCTACATAAATTCATTCATTCATTCAATCTTTATTTAGACTGGTTAATCCCACTGAGCCTCAAGGACTCATTTACAAGAGAGATCTGATTTCAACAAAGAATGATGACAATAGTGGACAACAACGACAACAATAGACAATTATAAAAGAGGCATATAGATTAATTTTATATAGATATTTCATATAGATATTTTGTTGAAAATTAAAATAAGATGGCAACAAAAGTAGCAAAAACCGCTAGATTATAAGGCGAAAGTAGAAAACTAAAAACGGGAATACGTCTGCATTGGTTCTTGCCAGGAGTCCAACAGATTCTTAAAGCCACTTAGAGAGGTCAAGGTCAAGGTCGAGATGTAGATCAGATCATTCCTTGATCCTGATGCATCCTTACATTTCCATGCCGACGACAAAGTTCTTTATTGTCGAGCTAAAATAGTCGCTAACGTTTTCCAGCTTCTACAGTCTGCATTAGACATCATCCAGTCAGATTTGTTCTGTCTCAAACTGGTGCTAAATGCTGATAAAACCAAAGGGATGTTGTCTTCAAACAGGAAGTTGGTCCCAGCAGCCCTTTCTTCTATTCTATCTATGAATGGTGTTGCTGTTGAGTTTGTCGATTCCTACAAATACTTGGAAATTTTGTTCAATGCACATTTCTTTTAAGCCTCAACTCGAAAACTGAGTAACGAACGGCCTTGTAACTGTGACTTTCCTTTCGTCCTTTTACTGTGGTGACATTTTTTACATGAATGTTCCTGCAAGCACCTTACAGATGTTGGATGCTATCATGGTACGCTAAGATCCATAACTGTCTGTAACTATCGTACCCATCACTGCACCCTGTATTCACTGGTTAACCGGTCATCATTAACTTCACACAGACTCTGTGTGTGTCATCTTTAAATCACTTCTTAGTCTGCTGCCTTCATATGTCTCCTCCTACGTCACGTCGTCAGTGCAGCTGCTTGCACTCCCAAGACATCATTACCTGCAGTGTCCCATTAGTGCGGACCAAATTTGGCATAGGGCCTTTTCTTAATCTGCTGTAATCTGTAACACCTTGCAAAAAGATCTGAAGCCCTCGGCCTTGACCTCTCTAAGGGATTTTAAACTACTGTTAAGTTAAATGCAAAAATCAATGCAAACATGTTCCTGTTTTCAGTATTTACATCCTTTTATAATGTAGCATGATTTTTTTAGTTAGTTTTATATCACTTATTTTATATACTTTTCATTTTATATGCTTTCATATGTTTATTGTTATGTGTACCTCATTTATGTTTTTTGTTGAAAACAGGTCTCTCTTGTAAATGGGTCCTTGTGACTCAATAAGAATAACCTGTATAATTAAAGGTTGAATGAATAAAGCCAGCTCTTTTGTAGACATTTAGAAAGTACAATGCATACAGCGTATAACTGGCGCTACATGTTCAGCCAAGTGGTCTAATTCCTGTGAAGCGCTGCCCAGCCACGTCTCTGTCCAGGCAGCTCAGAATTCAGAACGCATCAAAAGTAGAGTCTTTATTGATGAGTGGGCAAAAGAACCACCTCAGTTAAACTGTACAGTCACAGAATATCATTCGCAAAGGAATGCCAGACACAAAAATCATGGACCTCCGGGCACTTGTCGCTTCATCTTTCCACATCAACATCTGTACAAGTTGTAGAACCCAAGTCTTGAATCTATGAAACGCAGTGGAATGCATGCTAGAACAGTTTGCTGTGCAAGTGTCCACATTGAAAATACTGACTGCACATATATATGCCCAACGTACTAAAGGTCAGACATTTGCATTACATGAATCTTAATTTGGAGGAACAATTCGGTGTGTAGACTGACCCGGAGGATCTATACACCACAGCCCGAAGTCACTTTGATTTGGAAACATACTGGGAGATCTGGATCCTCAAACTGTGACATTTAAATTGAGCAGGAACATAAAAGGGCCGGGTTAACATTCAAGTTTCCTTCACCTCAAGAGGGCCACATCATTTCCTCTTTAAAGTTCTGGTACAAGCAGACATAAACAGTCCAGTATTTTCAAACATTCCCCAAAATCATCATTTGCAAATAAATGTACATTTTTTTTAATCTTTTTTTAAAGTTGATGTAATATACATACATCATTATTCAAGTCGTTAAATCCTATAGCCTGTTTGCAATGTACAAATAGTAAAACGAATCTGCCCCCTTCTTATTACCCCTCTGTGTTTCACATTAACTTGCACATTATCATTTTATATAAAAAAAATATCAGAACACATTTTTAAGTTGCAGAAATCCATTGAAAGAACTAATTTCCATCTGATGATTGCTCAATTTTGCAGGATCTTGAGACAACAGAATGTGGCTGTTTTCATTTTGACTCAGTAATACTGAAACCTATTCTATTATTATTTCTGTCGGACTCATTCTGCCTCCCTCCCCTCTTTTTGTTATACCTTTCCCTCTCGCACCCACACATACACACAAATGCTATATAAAAACACACAAGCAGGAATGGTCATTCCTGTACAGTCTGTACAATATGAAATCAAGTCATATTTCAAAATAGTGTCATCTGCTTAACATGTATTGTTTATAAATAAAGCAAAACAGGCATTTTTCCTTCTTTTCCCCCCTTTTTATGATACAAAGAAACCTGACACGCCCTACAAGTCCAAATAATAATAATAATAATAATAATAATAAAAAAATCAAACATGTTAGGGGCTTCAGAGTTCACAACAGATATTTAAATGTGTCCAAGGTTATTGGGTTTGCCTAACATCCTGCCAGTCTCCTTTGAATTACATGAAAATGTGTCCAGAGTGGTGTATCGGTCTATTCAGACCCTTTGAGTTCTTTGATGTGTTTCAGAGTTAGTAACGCTCTGATCAAACCCTCCGTCTATTCATAGTCCACGGCACATTTCTTCAAGGGATTGTTTCTGGTTAGAGCCTTCCGTGACACAGGCTAGTTCTCAGCTCAAAGCTCTGCAGCGTGTCCGTCTAAGATAAGGCAACGTTATTTTATAATGGCATCTGTCATACGTAACAGGGGTGGGGACAGTGGGGATCTTTTCATCCTATTGAACATACAGTACAGGATCCAAAATACAAGTTTTACCAGGGGTTTCTATTGCCCTGCCCAGACTCTTGCACCTTTAATCAAATGTGAACATTCTTCAAACTATGCCTGAATTTCTTAGCAAGAATTTCAATTTGTTGTGCAAAAACAAATCAGACACTGACGTATTCCAAGTGCTTTACAGCACTGCTGCTCTGTAAATTTCATTTTAAACCTAGAAACATTCTTTGAATTGACCTAGTTTGTTTTCCTTACATGATGCAGTAGGCCTCATCTTGAGGCAGATGTTGTTTAGTCCTCCAGTAAGTAGGCAGGTGGGCTCTCAGCACTTTCCTCAGGTCCTCGTTCAGCAGAAGACAGAATATTGGGTTGACGCCGGCCTGGGCAAAGCTCATCCACACAGTGATGGAAAGGTACCTGTGGGGTATTGAGCAGGACTTGACAAACACCCTCCAGAAGCATGCCACGATGTAGGGAGCCCAAAGGACCAGGAAAAGCAGAGTGATGGTGTAGAACATCCTGCCCAGCCTCCTCTCGGACCTCACCTCCTCCATCCCGAGCAGCCGCCGGTGCTGATTGTGTAGATTCTGCCTGATGCCCAGCAAAGTGGGGGGCATGGGACCGCGTCCAAACCCCGCAATCCAATTGGCCGCAGCTTGACCTGTGGCCCCAGGACCGTGGAAGGTCCAGTTCTGGCTGATCGCTGGCACCAGTTGGACAGGTTTCATCTTGCGGTGCCTGTACTCAAAGAGCAGGAGCTTGGCGTAGAAGCCGTGAGTGGCCAAGACCACCACAGCCAGCATGAGCATGAAACCCAGGGTGTCGTTGGTCTTCAGGTAGCGGTGTTCAAAAATGCACTGATCTTCATCCCGGATGAACTTGTATGTCCCCACGTCAAAGACAGGTGGGAACGCCATGGCGACGGCCAGAGTCCACACCATACAAATGATGGCGGCACAGGTCCAAATGGTCATGCGTTTGGCGTAGAAGCGGTGGTGGGCAATGGCAAGGTAGCGAGTGACGGCCACACAGAACAGCATGAAGGCAGCATGAAAACAAAAGAGGACGGCCATGAAAGCTACAACTTTGCAACTCAAGGCACTGTAAGTCCAGGCTGAGCTGTTGTGGACAGAAACCAGTACGAAGGGGAAGCAGGCAGCAGAGCGAACTGCATCGGCCAGGCACAGGTCCAAAAGAAAGAAATAAGGAGCCTTATGAAGTGTCCTGTCTCGCAGCACCAGCATGGACACCAAGAGGTTGCCTACCAGGCTGACACAGATGATCAACCCCAAGAAGACCAGCTTAAAGTAGGCAGACACATCTGTGGCAGAAATTCCTCCAGTGCTGCTGTCACTGCTGCTGCCGCCTTTTGCCAGACCGCTCTGGGAGGCCAGCACAGCCAGTAAACTGCCAGGCCCATCGATGGCGAAGCTCTGGTTAGCCATTCTATCACCTTCCAAGAGAGCCTGGCCAACCCCTTTAAACACAGTTCCTATCCTCCTACAGCCGTTGTCTCCCACGGCTCCCTCGTCTCTACAAGGAGAGGCCGTTACTGATCTTTTCTATATGAACGGATCATCCTCCCTCTTTGTCCACGGCCTCACCACCTGTGAACAGAAACACATCTTTTAAGGATAAAACAAAGACGACAGGCCTGCTTGTAAGCACACTAAATGGACAGGGAAGTCAAGTGGAGACTGTGTGGATGTGGAAGTGTCGTGTTGGACAACACAGCTCAAATCTCTGCCTTTCTGTTTTTCTAACGCTGGGATCAGATCAGCAGCTCTACAGCATGCCAGCTCCTTGGCTCTCTCAGTAATTACCTAGCCCGTTGCTAAGATACTACAGCTCACATACTTTGTGCAAGTGTGGGTGTTTGACTGAATGCATGGGGGTGTAGGGGGGTGGGGGGTGGAGCAGACACAGCATAACCAACACTGGGCATGTCCAACAAACAGAGATGTTGTAAATGAGGAAAGAACATTATAAGCTCCCCCTCTGCTGGTCTTTGTACGAGTGCATGCATGACAGCCAGTAAAAAAACAAATATATAAATAAAAAGGAGTGGGTGTAATCTGTACCATTCATGGCGGTGGAAAAATGTAGCACAGGAGGCCGTCTGTTTATATATATATATATATATATGTATGTATATATATATGTATATATATATATATTTTTTTACTCTGCGTCTGTCTGGAAAGATGGCATCAAACTCAACAGGAGCTTAAAATGATGACTTTATTCATCGCGGCCGGGCTCGGCGTTAAAGCAACAATGCCAAAATGCGCCTAAAGAAAACTAGGAGGTGCATAAAAACTGGATTACAAACCAAATTTGGCACCTATAGCTACTATTACTGAGGGGGGTGGGGGTGATAAAGCACAGGGAGGGACGCTGCTGCCTGGTTTGGGTGGGCCTTGACAATGTAGGCCATGAACACAAGACAATAATCTGCCTCCTTTTTTTTTTTTTTAATACAAAACACCAGCTTGACTAATATCATTTCAGCTGATTAAATGGCTGCCATGTCAGCTAGGCCTGAAACACAGGGTGGAGTAAAATAAACTGACGAACAGGTGTCAAAATCACCTCTGCTGTGTTGTTTTCCTCTCCGTGTCTGTGTGTGTGGAGAATTAAGAAGAGACGGAGATGATAACCTACCTTTCATTCCCTCATTCTTTGGCTCTGCTCTTATTTCACGGTCAAAAACAAACTGACTGATCCCAGTTGCTTTGTTTCACAGCTCGTTAAATCGACAGAAAGACACATCATCGAGCTCCCTGCTCCTCTCCCAGGCTCAAACAACACCTGTTATGCACAGAATCCATGGCAGATGATCGGATGGTTGAACATGTAATAAACATGAGGCGAATAATCAACAGCTGATCGAACAGTCCAAGGATGGCAGCTCTGTCATCTTTAGATTTGTGTTAAAGAGGAGAGGGGGGGCACATGCATCCACCGCCACCCTTTTTTTTTTTACAGCTTCCCTTCATTTGAATATCATCCGAGAAAACAGATTTTTATGTTGCATCACGTCGAGGAAGGGGGGGCTGGAAACACGCGATCAAAATTATAACTCTTTATTCCCTGGTTTTATATCCAAGTGATGTCACAGTAATCGTTAGCGAGGAGAAAAAAGATCGCAGATATCCTGAATGAATCGTCCTGGCGTGTGCAATGGCCATCAGGACAGACAGCGTCTCTGTTCCCCATCTTTCAGTCAGAAGCAGAAAAACGCCATGCCTGTCAGGATGCAGTCGAGGACGGGGGACTACATCTTACTGGTCCACAATAAAAGCCTCCATGACAGATGAAATGTTTGAGCAAACCACAGCGGGAGGAGACCAAAAAAAAAAAAAATCCCAGCAAGAAAAAAAAAAAAAAGATGAAGAGGATTTTCACCGCGTCGAAGTCACGTTTACTTAAAATAATTAAAATAAAATATAAACAAAATGAAAACAAAATGAAACGGAACCCCCTCCCCTAAAAAAAAAAATCAGAAAAGCAGCACGGCAGGATCAGGCGAATTATTCCTGAATAATCCCAATTATGGCTGCTGGCGAGGAGGGAGCTCGCACATTCGCGGAAAGCGTCGGTTTTGTTCGGAGGGAGGGAGGGGGAGGGAGGGGAGGCGGGCTCGCGGACCACGACTCGGTCCGGTCCTGCTGGGCTCGCCTCCTGCCTTCTCCTGCATGGACACGGTGGGGAGCTGCAGCTGTCAACAAACTGTCTTCCGTCCGTGTCCTGTCCTCAGAGACACAGGCAGGGACGACACAGAGGCCTGTCAGAAAGAAGCAAGGGATTCTGGGTCCTCGTGACCAACCATGGACACCCACCACCAGAAGGTTTTTTTTTTTTATTCATCCTTTATTTAGACAGGTTAATCCCATTGAGCCTGGAGGACTCATTTACAAGAGAGACCTGATTTCAACAAAGAAAGATGACAACAATGGACAACAGCCACAACAATAAACAGTTATAAAAAGTCATACTTTTTTTTTTTTTAACAAATAGTATGGCTACAAAAAAAAGAAAAGTAAAACGAAAGAAAGAAAAGTAACAAAAAACAGCTAGATTCAAAGGCGAATGTATAAAACTAAAAACAGGAACATGTCTGCATTGGTGCCCGACAGGAGTCCAGAAGGTTCTTAAAGCCACTTAGAGAGGTCAAGGTCGAGAGCTTCAGATCTTTTTGTAAGATATTCCAGGAAACAGGAGCGGAGTAGGAGAAGGCCCTTTTGTCTAGTTCAGTCCTCACTGAGGGGACACTGCAGGTAATAATGTCCTGAGAGCGCACGCTGTAGCTGCACTCACGCAGAGACGTGTAGGAGGAGATGTATGAAGGCAACAGACCAAGAAGTGATTTAAAGATGAAAATGTACCAGTGAGAGAGTCTGCGTGAAGTTAATGATGACCAGTTAACCAGTGAATACAGGGTGCAGTGGTGGGTACGATAATCACAGCCAGTTATGAATCTTAGTGCACCATGATAGACAGCGTCTAACATCTGCAGGGTGCTTGTAGGAAAATGTCACAGCATAAAAATAATTACTGAGAAAATCTGCTGAGTGCAGAATGGCTACTGAAATTAGCTTAAACTGGGTTGTTTAAGCTAAAAGAAACAACACCAACAAAAAAAGAGCAAAACATTAGCTATAAGTAGCTAAACACTAATGAAAAATAAATAATGGCAAAAGGCTAGCTAAAAGCTAAGCATAGCAAAATGCTAGCTAAACAGAAAAAGTGGCAAAAATGCTAACTGGAAAACTAGAGTAGCAAAACACAAACAAAATATTAGCTAAAATGTTAAGTAGTTAAAAGTGAAATATGGCAAATTGCTAGCCATACATAATAAAGGGCTATCATGGGTAAAAGTAGATAAGACACTAGCAAAAAAGTCATTAACAAAAGGCTAGCTAAAAGCTAAATGTTGCAAAAAGCTAGTTGCAAAAATTTGCAACACAGCTAAATGCTAAAAGTAGCAAGATGTTAGATAAACGCTAAAAATAGTAACAAGTATAGTTAGTAACAGCTGTTACTTTTGCCGTTAGTAACAGCAAAATGTTATCTGAAAGTTAAGGGTAGTGAAAAGTTAAATGTATTAAATGGCTAGCTAAAAGTAGTAAGAGACAAGCTAAAGATTGCACAAATGTTAGCTAAAAGTGTCAAAAGCCTAGCTAAATGTAACAAAAGGTTTTAATACAAAAGGGTAGTTAAAAGCGAAATATAGCTAATGACTAGCTAAAAGACAAAAGTAGCAACATACTTGCTATATATTATAATATATTATTATTTTAAATTATTTAGCACATGCTGCACCTGTGTGCAGCCCACAGCTGCAGGAGAAGCCAGCTGTGGGCTGCTCTGCAGCAGAGTAGTGGGCGTGGCCAAGAACACTAGCAGGTGGCAGAGTGCATCCGGAGGCAGAGAGCTGAACTCATCACATTCTGTGATCTTTTAAAGTGTTATAAATACTAAAATAAACTACTTACTACGTGTACTAAAAGTCCTACTTCACGGTTTTTCACTTATCGCAGAGATTCAGGGTACGGATCCTCCGCGATAAACGAGGGACTACTGTATTGTGTTTGTATCACATGGTATTGCCTTCACTTGAAACACTGGAAATCTGTTATCTTTGTTATTGTTATTACAAAGTATTATTATTATTGCAACAAAAAAAAAAACTTGTGTATGTGTGGATGAGAGGTACAGAAGCACGTTTCAAAATAATTTTGGTGCAAATCCTTGACAGTATTTATTATTCATTTGCAGCACTAATTTAGGGTTAATGGTCGAGAACACAGGGATTTCAATGAACTATAATTTGTACAATTTATGGTAATTATCAAACGTTATGTGATGATTTCTTTAGTAAAAAAAAAAGATTTTTTAAATAAATTTTTACTAAGAAGAACTGAGAGGTAGTGGAAAATACAGATTATTTTACTGGAATAAACCCACCACATAAAATGTGAGTTAAACAACAACCTAATCAGCTCAGAAAGATGCTGTAAACATCCTTAGACCATGGAGGACAATAATGTGAAAGTAGGGGGATTACAGAGAACACAGTTCGTTCAGTTTTGACCAACTGGCTCTCTTATGATGAAATACTGTAGTTTAACAAGCAGGCCGAGGTCGCTCAAGAAACGAAGAAAATATGTTTTTAACATTTTTTTTTTTGGAATCTCCTATTGTATTTGTTTTTAAACGAGTTTTATTTGTCTAGATTGTTGACTGTAAAAACAGAGATGACTTCAAAGTAAGTGCTCATGATAAAATTCATAGTATTTGTACATCATTTAAACAAATCACTTGTTTTCTCAAAAAATTGATGAAGTGTATGCGTGCACCCATAAATAACTATAATTTAAAGGCCAACACCATAATCCATGGGCAATTCAAAAATGCCTGATGTCAAAGAGCTGACAGACAAAAACAAGTTTAACATTCATCAAATTAATCATCATCAGCTTAACAAGATCATTTGTTTTCTTAGGAGGGTTTCAGAAGAAAGCTTATGAACAAATAA